GAGAGCATTTTGTCTAAACTCTTCTATTTTAGTTCAGAGAGAAAAGGATTATTTACTTACTGTATTTTGTTGACATAATTGACTAGTAAACACTTATTTAATCTCCTATCTCATGTAAAAATGCAGTTCCATGTAGGTTTAAAAATATGTATATAGGTGCTGGAGAGATGGCTCAGCAGTTAAGAACACTGGTTGTTCTTGCAGAAGACCTGGGTTTAAATACTAGTATCCACATGGCAGCTAACAACTGTCTGTAACTCCAGTTCCAGGGGATCTGATGGCTTCTTCTGTCCTCCGCAGACATTGCATGATGTGGGTGCACTTACCTACATGCAGGCAATACTCTCATACACATAAAATAAAAATAATAAATAAAATATTTTCTAAAAAATATGCATATAAAAACTCGAAAAATTAGGAGAATATTTATAAAATTTCAAAATGTAGTAAGTCACTTTAAGCAAAGCAGAAAACCTAGAAACTTTGAAGGCAGAGACAGCATGGTCTCCATGGCAAATCCAGGCCAGCTGCAGCTACAAGAAGACCTTGTCCTCAAAAAAAAAAAAAAGAAGACAAAAAAAGATCATGTAATAACTTTTTAAAAACAAAGTTGTCAAGGGTGAAGTAAAGTGAACTCGGGGATCTGAATTGTGATGACTTTTTTGAAAAACTTATTAGAACTTGTCAGGTAAAAATTTAAATACATATGGGGGCTAGAGAGATGGCTCAGTGGTTAAGAACACTTCTTGCCAAAGACGGGGTTCAAATCCCAGCACCCCACATGGCAGCTAACAGCTGTTTGTAACTCCAGTTCCAGGGGATCTGACAGCCTCTTCTATCCTCCTCGGGCATTGCACGACACGGGTGCACTTACCTACATGCAGGCAGTACACGCATACACATAAAATAAAAATAATAAAAATATTTTTAAAAATTTTAAATATATAAATACTTTGACCTAACAATCTCATTAGGAGTCCATTATACAGATACGAGCTTTTGTATGAGTCTGTAGACATAGAGAATGTTGAGTATTGTTTAAAAAATTAGATTAGGCTGAGTATAGGGACACATCCCTGTAATCCCAGCACTTAATCAAGGCAGAGATAGTAGGATCAGGAGTTCAAGGTCATCTTTAGTTATTTAGGAACTCAAGGCCAGTCTGAGCTACAGGCTGTCTTAATCTCCCACTTACCCCCCCCCCAAAGTATTTAGATTAGAGATGTACAATATTACAAAAAAAGTTGGAATCAACCTGGTGAACTTTTAGCAGAATGATTGGGTAGCCTGCATATATCCATATGATATCATACTATGCAGTGACTTTTTAGTTAGATCTATAGTTATTGACATAGTGTACCTATGTGAAGATATAAAACAAATATAAAATGGCCTCATTAGTAACAGAAAAATGGGCTGAGGGTATAACTTAGTAATGGCATGCATGCTTTGTATGTGTGAAGCCCTGAGTTTGAGCTCCAGCACCAAGAAAATAAGCTGCAAAACTACATAAATGTGAAAACATAGTACGAAACAGTTAAAACATTGATTACCCTTCTGGGCAGAGTGGCGTGAAGCTGGGGGTAGTTTACTCCATCGCCTTTGTATTGTTTGACTACTTATTAAAATTATATATATATATATATATATATATTCCTGCTGTTAAATAGTCAGAAATCAGGGACTGGAGAGCTGACTCAGCAGTTAAGAGCACTGACTGCTCTTGCACAGGACCCGGGTTCAATTCCCAACACTCACATGGTGGCCAGTAGTCATCTGTAACTCCAGTTCCAGGGGACCTGACGCCCTCTTCTGACTTCTCTGACTTCTGTGGGCATTACAGGACATGGGTGCACTTACATGCATGCAGGCAATATACACATAAAATACAAATGAAAATAATAAAAATAAAATATTTTTAAAAGTAAGAAAACAAACAGAAAATTCCACATTTAATAAGGCAGAACCTTAAGAAAATAAGACCATATTTGAAGGATGCAGCGAACTCCCACTTGAAGCAAGAATGTCTTTCTCAGAATCCTTAACACATGTTCATGTAGGCTTTGTTTGCGCATCAGCAATAGAGAGCTTATTTCTTCACAAGGCAATATATTCCATTTTTCAAAATTTATTTTTATTTGGTGTATATAATTGTATGTATGTATGTTCGAGTGCACATGCACATACATGCTCATGTGTGGAGGCCAGGGGGCATGAGTGTTGCTCTTTAGGCACCATCTACTTAAAAAAAAAAAAAAAAAAAGCTGGGCATGGTGGCACATGCCTTTGATACCAACACTGGGAGTCAGAGGCAGGCGGATCTCTGTGAGTTCAAGGCCAGCCTGGTCTACATAGTGAGTTCCAGGTCAGCTGGGGCTTCAGGGAGACCCTGTCTCAAAAAGACAAAAACAAAAACTCTTTGTTTTATGTGTATGGCCTGCATGGTTAATGTGTACCACATATGTGCAGGTGTCCTAGGAGGTCAGAGGGCATCAGATCTCCTAGAAGTAGAGTTACAGGTGGTTATAATGTGGGTGCTAGAAACTGAACCTCAATTCTCTGCAAGAGCAGTAAGTGTTCTTAACCACTGAGCCATCCCTACAGTCCCATTTTGCTTTTTAAAACTTATCTTTATTTATATATACATATATATATGTATATATAAGTGTACCATATGTATACTATGCTCATGGAGACCAGAAGAGGGCCTCCTTCAGATCCTGAAATTGGAGTTACAGACAGTTGTTAGCTACCATGTGGGTGTTTGGTAGTGAACCCAGGTCCTCTATAAGAGCAGCCAGTGCTCTTAAGCACTAAGCTATCTCTCCAGTTTCCTACTTTGCTTTTTTGAGACAGAATCTCTTAATTCAGACCTAGAGCTTACCAGTTAGTCTAGTCTGACTGGCCAAGAGACCAGCAAACTTCAGGAATCCCCATCTCTGCCTCCTCAGAACTAAGATTACAAGTGTATGCCACCGTGCCTGGCTATTTATGTGGGTCCTAGGGGATTGAGTGCTTTACCTAATGAGCCATCTCCCCAGTGCCATATTCCATTTTGAATAGTGATTGTTAGAACTTCTGCCTCCTGTTGAGTTGAAATCTGTGTTCAACTGTAACTTTCTTCCAGAGATCTGGTTTTTAGATCAACTTATGAAATAGATTCTTTCAATTATGTTTGATTCCACTAAAGTCAATATATGAATCTATAATCATTGAAATAACCATCAAGCTAGGAATAGAGACTCAATGCCTATCACTTAAGAAGCTGAGGCAGGAGGATTGCTGCAAGTTTGAGGCCTGCTTGGGCTACATAGTTCAAGACTAGTGTAAGATACATAGTGAAATCCTGTCTCAAAAAAACCAAAAACATGTCTGTAATACTAGCAGGAGGATCAGGAGTTCAAGGCCAGTTTTAGTTACTTACCTAATTTGAGCCCAGCCTGAGTTACTCAAGACTCACTCTCAAAATAACAGCAAGAACAGAAATAACCATAGCAAGGACCCCTCCCCCCAACCCCCACAAATAAAAAGGAAAAAGGAAAAGAACTGTCAGGGCTGGTTGGAGGTATAACCAGTGGTAGAGTCCTTACCTAGCAGGTACCAGACTCTGGGTTAGAACCCCAGCACAATAAATTAACAGACTTTCAGATTAAAAAAAAAACAAAACCAACAACAAAACTTAATAGCCAGGTGTGGTGGCACACACCTTTAATTCCAGCATTTGGGAGGCAGAAGCGGGTGGTTCTCTATGAGACTGAGGCCAGCCTGGTCTTCATAGCAAGTTCCAGGACAGCTGTGGAAAAGGGAAACCCTGTCTCAAAAAAATAAATAAAAATTTAAAAAAACACTAACTTGTTTCCTTCTTTATTTGTGTGTGACTGTAATTGTGTGGGATTTAGGAAATACTAAAGGCTATTCAGGATGTGACCATAAAACGGGAAGAAACAAAGAAGAAGATAGAGAAAGAAAAGAAGGAGTTTTTGCAAAAGGAGCAGGATCTGAAAGCTGAAATTGAGAAGCTTTGTGAGAAGGGCAGAAGGTAAATGATGCTGTTAAAATAAAACCCCTGTGTGCGCGTGTGTGTTTGTACATAAGGGCCAGTTCCATTGGTTTTTTTTTGTTGTTGTTGTTGTTGCTTTTTTTAAATTTTTAATAACTACATGATTAGAAGAAGCATTTCATTGCAGCTTTAACATATTCAGTAACACACTCCAGAGCAAGAATACATCTATTTCACAAGTGGCTGTAAGTTTTTAGGTTCACAGTTGAATTAATATAGTTATACAATATTGAACTCAGTATGAGCCCTGTAAGACATAAAATTGAATGAGTTTTTAACCTTTAAAAAAGATCTCGAAGCCAGGTGTGGTGGAGCACGCCTTCAATCCCAGCACTCAGGAGGCAGAGGCAGGCTGATCTCTGTGAGTTCAAGGCCAGCCTGGTCTATATAGTGAGTTCCAGGACAGCTGGGGCTCCAGGGAGACCCTGTCTCAAAAAGACCCCTCCCAAAAAAAGAGAAAAATTTCAGTGGTTCAGTAATACTTTGAAATAATAGTTAAGGGACTGGACTAGGAGTACAGTTTGGTGGTAATCCTGTGTTTAGTCCCCAAGACCTCTTCCCCTCAAAAAAGAAATTATGCAGTTAGGTTCCAAGTATGATTGAGATTTTTATTTTTTAATCCGTGTGTGTGTGTGTGTGTGTGTGTGTGTGTGTGTGCGCGCGCGCGCGTGTGCGCATGCATATTACCTGCACACATACATATGCATTCTGAGATTATAAATGTGCATTTATTGCACCCGGAATTATGTGGGCTCTAAACTCAGGTCCTTTTTGCTTATGTGGCAGGTGCTTTAGCCACTGAGTCATCTCCCCAGCCTCATGACCAAGATTTTGATATGTTTGTAACACCCATTTCACTTGCTTTATAACCTGAGGTGTTTTGTTTTATTTTTCACAAACTAGACCATGGGAATACTTTGGTTATGCTGTTCAGCACCACAGGCAAATTTCAGATGGTACCCTGTGAGTTATCTAATGAGATACTGACCTGTGTTCTCTCCTGGGTGAGAATGTAGCAGGAAAGAAGTGAACATTGACTTTGGTTGAATTCTTAATTTTTCAAGTTTCTTCTAATAACATGCTCTAAAATACAGATAGTTGTGAATACTGTGATAATTTTATTTAAATTCTGTAAGATTCATATTTATTTGGGAAGATCTTGGCTGTTGCAAATGTATAAGAATACTAAGTAAAAAGTAGCAAGGTCACTTACTGATTCATTTTCTAAGTGTGAAAGAAATTAACTATGGACCTTCCACATGAGAAGGAATGTTAGAGAGAGGACCTGAAGGGCAACTAGTTCTTCTTTTGAGAATCTGGTGAAACTGAAAGATTAGGAGATTGGTATGTTGTTCACTGTGATCATTTTCTAGCAATTATGTAGATTATACTCAGATCAGAACATTGTCCCTGGCATTGATAGTGACTGACAGCTGCCACCCTGCCCACAGCAGCATGGCCTCTGCTGTTCTTATCACAGCTGATGTTGGAAGATGAAGAACAGACATGGACATGTCACAACTTAGCATGGGCTTTCTTAAGGAGTAGACACTGGGAAATGAGTCTGTAATTTTGTCTAGGCCCTGTGACAAATTTCCTTTTGTGTGTGCTCTGCACTCCTTTTTTGGGGGGAGGGAATTGTTTGAGACAGGTTTCACTATGTAACCCTGGCTGGCCTAGAACTCACTGTATAGACCAAGATGGCCTCAAACTCACAGAAATCTGCCTGCCTCTGCCTCCTGAGTTCTGCAATTAAAGGTGTGTGCCACCGTGCCCAGTCTCTCCTCTGCACTCTTTATACACCTCTGATTACGTTCTTTTTCCCTCTGGTTGAATGGCTACAAGTAATGGTGGATACTAACAATTTTACTGTTTGTGATCTTGAAGATCCAATTGAATTTTTTTTGTTTGTTTGAGATAAGGGTCTCTGTGTGTAGCCCAGGCTAGCCTTGAACTCACCATCTTCCTGTCTTCCTCCCTACTTGCTTGTATTATAGGTATGTGTTAGTTGGCCTCAAATTCACTATATAGCAGAGAGTGCCTTAAACTGCTGATCCTTCTGCCTCCACCTTCCAAGTGCTGGAATTATAGGCATGCACCATCATTCCTGCCCAAGGGTTTGTCTTTTTTAAAAAAATTCTTTGTGTATGTGCATGTGGTATGTAAGTGTGAGTTTGGAGGTCAGAGGACAACCTTAGGTGGCATTCTCGCCTTCCACCTTGTTTGACACAGGGTCTCTCTTGTTCACTGCTACATATGCCAGTCTATCTGACCTCAGAGCTTCCAAGGATTCTCATGTCTCTGCCTTTCATTTCCCTGTAGTACTGGGATTATGTGTGCGTGTGTACACACACTACTGTGACTTTTTTTTTTTTGGTCTTTTTGAGACAGGGTCTCCTTGTAGCCCCAGCTGTCCTGGAACTCACTATATAGACCAGGCTGGCCTTGAACTCACAGAGATCAGCCTGCCTCTGCCTCCCGAGTGTTGGGATTAAAGGCATGCACCACCACACCCGTCCTATTGGTTGTTTTTTAACAAGGTCTCTCTAGTCACAGCCCACCTGGAAGTCACAATGTGAACCAGGGCAGCCTGGATCTCATAGAGATCCACCTGCCTCTGGCTGGGATTAAAGGCACATGCCACACCCAGCAGTAAATTTGTTTTTCAATTTACCAACTCTCTATATATATTTGAAGTTTTATTTTTATTTTTTGAGACATGATCTCACTGTGTAGCCAGCCATAGTTGGCCTCAAATTTTTGAGTATTCCTCCTGCCTCGGTGTCCCAAGTGCTGGGATTACAGATGTTTGTTTACTACCACACCCAGCCATGTTCTTAAGGATTCTTGTCCATGCTGTAGGGAGGGGGTTGTCATGATATCAAGAAGATATGGCAAAAAATATAATGTATTTGCAGTGATGGGCATAGATACAAGGGAGGAATTGAGCCAGCGACAGATGGGAGAAACCTTTCAAGCAGGTGGCCCACAGACAAGAAGGAATGATGCCCAGGGTGTCAGGTGGAGTAGTAGAATCAGGCTGAAGGTCATCCATACAAGTTTGGGCTTTTTTCTAGTAGTGAAGAGTTTTCAGGGAGGAGGGGCTATGGAGTAATGTGATTTACATTTTAGATAGATTACTTGGGTGACTGGAAAATGGATTAAGATAGAATTGATGAGCAGTTAGGGGATATCCTTCCATATTCTTACTTATTTAGAGTAATGATAGCTAGAGCTAACATGGTTTCAAAAAGGATGTGAAAAGTCATACTGTTATATTAAAAAAATTGCTTTGCGGGGCTGGAGAGATGGCTCAGAGGTTAAGAACACTGGCTGTTCTTGCAGAAGACCCGGGTTCGAATCCCAGCCCCACATGGCAGCTAACAACTGTCCGTAACTCCAGTCCCAGGGGATCTGACAGCCTCTTCTGACCTCCGCGGGCATTGCACGACAGGAGTGCACTTACCTACATGCAGGCAATACACACATACACATAAAATAAAAATAATAAATAAAACTTAAAAAAAAATTGCTTTACATGAAGATACTGCTCCTGCTGTGTGTGTGAGTGTGCATGTGCCCACATGTAAAGGCAAAAGGTTGATGTCAGTGTCTTCCTAAATTGCTTCTCTATCTTATCTTTCGGAAGCAAGATCTCTCACTGAACCTGGAGCTTACCAGACTGGCTGGCCGGCCAGCCCCATGGGTCTTCCTATGTCTGCCTCCCCAGCATTGAGATTATAAGCTTGTATGCAGGTACTGGGGATCTGAGGCTGGGTACTCAGCCTGTGCTGCAAGCACTTTGCTGACTGAGCCGTTTCCCAGCCCCAACACTGCAGTCTTCTTATGCTTACTCTATATGACATGTATTTCCATCCTTTTGCATTCAGGCTCTTTTTACTATGTTTTGTAGCCAGTGTATAATCGGGCTCTATTTTTATTTATTCTGTCAAGGTGTCTTTTAATTGAAGATTTTAGTCCTTTTATAGTCAGCATAATTGGTATGGGTTGGTTTAAGTGTAATTTTTTAAACTGTGTAAATGAAAATTAAATGAATATTCCTTAGAATTACTTTAATTTGATCTTTCCCTGCCAAAGTATACATATGCTTCTTTAATTCACTGGTAACATGCCATAAAGTAAAGCTACATGTCATTTGATTTTACTGTGTCAGAAAGACTTGTAATTTTCTTGGATAAATACTAGCAAATTTTTTAGTCTTTTTTTTCGGGGAGGGGGGGTCCAAAATTTTGTCCTCCTTTTTCCAGTAATCACAGTCATCTGATAGCTATTGTGGGGTGTTTGGAAACATTGTCTCAGATATTTTGTGCAGTTTTTCAGTTAAGGCCAGAGCTGAAATCTAATCTAATTGGTATACAATCATGGGTAGAGGCAGAATTCTGTGTTTTATTATGGACAGATTAAACTTGAAGAATAGTGCTTTTGAAATACCCATGCTAGTGTGTACAGTAATCAAGAAAGGGGCTTTAGAATGAAGCTGAGCTGGATGACGGGAGGGGATCAGTGCTCATTCATTCCTTGTGAAGGGTTAGAATGCTTAGAAAAAGGAGGATGTGGTCAGAAAGTCAGAATAAGCCCTGTGCAGCTGCCCATGCCTGTAATCTCAGCACTTGGGGCTGGAAGCAGGAGGATCAGGAGGGGTTCAAGGGCAGCCTTGCTACATACAAATTTGAGGCCAGCCTGGACTATATGAGACTATCTCAAAAAACCAAAAACAATAATCAAATAACAAACAAAACAAAAACCAACAATAAAAGTATGTTGTAAAAGGTGGAGAATAAGAAATGGAATCAGATACTTAAAAGTATTAAGGTTGGCTTAACTGAGGGACTGTTGGCAGCTGATCACTGCTGGGTGAGGGAGAGTAGGTCTTCTTTAAGGGAGTGATGCTAGATAGGCTGACCAGGCTCCAGTAGATGAACTCACACCAAGGGACATCTGGAAACACAAACTTGACT